CCCCAACCCGGAACCCAGTTTTTCTGGGGGCATCCATAGATATCCAAAGTCAAAAAGCAACGCCAACACCTCACAGAATCCTAAAGGTGCAAGAGACGGCTTCCAACCTACTCCATGCCCCAAAGTCCTCGGTCAAATACTGGCAGGTCTTCTTGGGTTTACTGGCAAGCCTAGTGGATGTGGTACCTCGATGCAGACAACACATGAGAATTCTCCAAATCCACCTACAAAAATACCTATGCCCAACGTCACAGGCAAACAAGACAATGGTTCCCAACAATTCCAGGACTCGAGCAGCAATTCAGTGGTGGCTGCACCTCCCCAATCTAACGGCAGGGAAACCTTTTCAATTCCCCCCTCCAACCCTCACGATCCTAACGGATTCATCGAAACAAGGTTGGGGAGCAGTGCTAGATCTCGACCAAACCGGGGGGGCATGGAACCCTCTGGAAAGAAATTGGCACATCAACAAATTGGAAATGGTAGCTGTCCAACGGGCCCTCCTACATTTTCAGACAGAGATCGAGGGGAAGTCAATCCTCATAAAGTCAGACAACAAGACTGTAGTGGCTTTTATCAACCATCAGGGGGGAACCAGATCAAGAACCCTGTGCTTCCTAACATTGGAAATCCTTCAGTGGTGCATCAACCAGGCAATCTTCATCCGGGCATCGTACATACCGGGCAAGGACAACTACATTGCCGATTTCATATCACGGGGGAGATATCTACCGACGGAATGGATGCTCCACCCCGTGATAACGAGACACATCTTCAATCGATTTGGCCAGCCGTCTGTCGACCTATTTGCTTCGGAACTGAACAGACAATTACAAACATATTGCACAAAACACAGGGACCCCAAGGCCCTGGCAACAGATGCGTTCTCGATCCCGTGGAACAACGTTCTCAGCTACGCTTTTCCTCCCTTTGCAATCATCACAAGGGTACTGACCAAAGTCCGGGAGGAGAATGCCACCACCCTCCTAATCGCCCCATGGTGGCCCCGTCGACCATGGTTTCCAACTCTGGTGAACCTTCTGAACGATTACCCAGTAATCCTACCAGACAGAAAGGACATACTGAGACAACCGGGGACAACACAGTACTACCCGAACCCTTCGAGACTGAAACTAACACTCTGGCCAATTACAGGGCAACAGCACTTGCGGCGGGACTTTCTGAAAGGGCTGCCGATCTTACAGCACAGTGCCTCCGAGAGTCAACTAGATCCACCTATGATTCAAGACTTCTGCACTACATCAGATGGTGCCGGGAATCAGAGATTGATCCACCCAAAGTATCTTTAGGTGAACTAGCTGAATTCCTTATCTCTCTTTATGACAAGGGTCTTTCACTTAACACTATTCGTGGCTATAGGTCAGCCATAGCTGTTATTCACAAAGGGTTTTCGAACGGCGAATCTGTATCCTCATCTATCATGCTGACAAGGTTAATGAAATCATTTTTTCTTACTAGACCCAGTAAGAAGACGTTGTCTCCTGCCTGGAGTCTCCCCAAGGTACTCCAAACTCTTAGTAGGGCCCCATATGAGCCCCTACACAAAGCTTCTCTTAAAGACCTTACGATCAAGACAGTTTTTCTCCTGACAACAGCTTCTGGTCAACGTCGCAGTTCTGTCCATGCACTTACCACCAGCTCAGGTCACATACGCTGGGAGAAGAACAAAGTAAGGCTCCTCCCACATGCACGCTTCTTAGCCAAAAACCAACGTGAGTCATCCCAGCCCCTGGAGATTGTTCTTCCTTCCATACAGTCCCTCTCCTCCATCGCTGAAGATAAACTGTGGTGTCCAGTTAGAGCTCTAAAGTGGTACATAAACAGGACACAGAACTTACGGTCATCAGAGCAACTTTTCGTTAGTTGTCTACCACCACATAAAGCTGTCTCTCGTGATACCATCTCTCGTTGGATTGTGTCGGCTATCAAATCAGCGGGCCAGGTTGCCCTCTTTTCTGACAGAATTCGAGCACATGACACAAGGGGCCTTGCTGCCTCATGGGCCCTCTTCAACGGTGCCTCCATGGAGGACATACTCAACGCTGCATACTGGTCAAGTTCAAACACCTTTACGGCATGCTACCTGTCCGATGTACTTCAGACTGAGACTGAGTTTGCAAGGGCAGTGCTGTCTTGCTCAAGATCTTAAATTGGGTAAGGAATTCACACGATGACTTATTTATGTTTTGGTCCATCATCTATCTGTGTTCCCTTCCTCCCATAGTTAACATGTGGTAATCTAGCATTAATGGTATAGGTAAGTATGGCGTAGTCTGCCGTAGATTTGTATTTTCAGTAGTGAAAATCATATCTACTAAGTAGCCATACTTACCTATACCAAACCCGCCCTCCTTCCCCTTGAGTTAGATGATGGCGTAACAGGCGCCTTGGAAAGAGGAAGTGTTATTGGCGCGGGGCCTTATATACTACTGACGGTCGGGGTTTCCTGCACTGACTCCGACGGAGTATGACGTCACAAAAAGACTTAGTCTGTGTTTACAGACTCTTTTTTGTGTTTTTCTCTAAGGAGAAAACCTTTGCCGGTAAATAGCGGGTAAAGTAAGGGAATAGCATTAATGGTATAGGTAAGTATGGCTACTTAGTAGATATGATTTTCACTACTGAAAATACAATTCTTTCCGACGTATACACAACAATTCGCCAACAAAACTAATACGATGTCGAGATCTCTAACGCTTTCCAAATGATGACTCTCTGCCTCCGTTTCCCGCACCGATGCTCTCGAAAAATAAATTGGCCCTACACATACGAAACTATTGCTACTAAATAAATGGCCATGCACTGCGTCCTCTTGTTGCCATTGCTGTGCTCCCCTTCTGAGGCTGGCACCCAATGCAGCAACCGTCAAAAAAAATAAAAGGCACTCGGCTTCCCTTTGAAATCGTCGACTCGTCATCTTGCACTTTTGCAGCTCCGGTTACACTACTAACAATCCCGACATCGGTGACGAACTTTGTATATGCTCAGCTACTCCCCGTCAAATTCTCCTGAGAGTGACTCTCCATGGCTGGGATAACAAACCCAACGACGTCGTCACGGAGGCCCAGAACAAGTTGACGTTCGCCATGATCACAGGAACATTGACCAGCGAGGCAGACTGCATCCACACGAAGTCGAAGTCGCGACCACGAAGAAACCAATCACGCTCAATCATTCCATAGCCACCACGTCACACCGCCTGCTTGTATAGTCGGTAGTCGACACCATTTATCAGCATACCGGTAAAGAGACGTAATTCTTATACTTGAAGATGCGAGTTCTGATTCTCAGTTTCTTCCTCATGGTAGCCATGCTGTTCAATGTAACTTTGCAAAGTCAATGCTCGCCAGCTATCATCAAATCGATGTCCGTGTTGAAGTCCAAAATCCCACCGCTGCCGCCAGTGTAACGAAATTTGATTACAAGTGTTTAATTCAGACTGCTCTCGTTCAGTTCTCGCTCAATATCTTTCTCACTCGAGCTCATGCGTGTATGCAATATAAATTCAACAGAAGAAATTGAGTATTCGTGAGTTTCAGTTCCATTCGATGTTTATTACTTCAAATAATGACAACTTGGTATACAGTCAGGTTCAGTGAATTACGAAAAACGGCAGAAAGGAGTACGAGGAGAAGTCTCAAGAAGTCAGTCCGAACTCTGTCTAAGCTAGAAGTCTGAAGTCCGAACTCTCGAGATTTTAGAATCCCTGGCTTTATATAGGGAGCTGTTTTGTAGCAGCAAGGACACAACCCGACCTCGAGCTAAAGGGCAGAGTCTGTCCTCAAACTGAGGACAAAGTCTGGCCTCCGCTCGGGGTCAGTCGGAGGCCGCACGCGACTGAGTATCTGTCCTTGCCGTTACGTAAGACGAGGACAGATTCTCTAGACGAGCGTGGCCCTGGGCTTACGCAATCGAACTGCAAGAATTACTCGACGAAAAACAACGTCGTAAATCTACCGAAGGACAAGTTTGACTTGCACAGCAAGCAATAATATTATAGCGAAATAATATGAACTGAGCACATGATACGGACATATCTAAATTCGTAACAATAGATTGAATTGATGCTGATAATTCAGAAAGAAGCATCAGCAGACTTGGCACAAATTGATGGATGATAAATTACATGTAGCATTACTAAGCAGCCATCACTAGGCCAGCACCAAGTGTTATCTGTACTTTTTTTGGTCTGTAAGAGTCCTGTTTTTTATCTAGAAGTTTGTTCACACATGTGGGACAGTAAACTGCAGTGTTTTTTTGGTGGTACTAACTACGAGTAAGTTAATGGCAATTGTGGATGAAAACAGTAGGTGTGTACACGTACAACAAAGGTCCTAGAAGTCCATGCGTACTCACTTATCTCTGGGTTATAAGATTGATATAAAAAATTTAAACGCAGTCTTAAAACTCAGTATGCAAGCCGATACTTATAAGCAGTAGGCCAATGCTTATAAGCAGTAGGCCAATGCTTAAACTGGCTTTACAAAACTTCTGTGTTAAACTGCAGCATTTGTGAACAATCCTTTAATTTGTGCTGTTGAATGAAAGTCCTCCCCTTCCCTTTCCTGGTAAATTTTATATTATATCCAATCATTGTGCATGTACAGTACCTGATCACAAAGGGGGTGGGGGAAGGAGTTGGGTTGTATTTCATGTATGGAACTGGAAAATACATTACCGCACCAAAGGCAAATTGATATGGCAAAATAGCTCACTTACATGTAACATCAAGTGAAATTGGTATCAACAGACCTATAGGGCCTACATTATGTGCATGTTATAATGTATACTGTATGTATAATGTATAATGTTTTTATCAAGATTGGCACCAATGCCGATGATGCAGGTGGATTGTGTGGTCAACAACCAGATCTGTCTACAAAATGAGATTGGGGGAGTAGTAACACGTCCAAGCTTGATATGTTTTACATACAAGTGTGTGTGTGTGTGTAAATATATTATTGTCTTTCTCATTGCAGGTTTATGGAAGAGGATCCGGCAAGGAATGCAGGTTGCTGGTGCAGTCTCTCAACATGACTGCAGGCCAGATGGCGGATGAAGACACCACTAATTGTCAGCCCACCTTCTCTGGCCACCCGGGTGAAGAAATAGAAATATTGCAGGTATTTACCCCTAGATGTCATTACCTGTGTGCACAAATACAAACCATTTATTTTCTTCAATGAATGTGTTTATTAAAATGGATGAGGAAGATTTCTTTCATGTCTGGTGTCATTTACAGGGCTTAACACCAAAAGGCTTCCAGTACATCCCAGGCCTTAAATTTCAATATTTTTAGGGCAAGGCCATTTTTCTGTAGGACACATTCCTATATTACAGCACAAATAGGAAGAATTGGAAAGGGCACAAAAAATCTCCAAGGCCAATGAGAGGGGCATTGAGGCCAATCAAAAGGGCATCCACGACCATGGCCTTGGTGGCCTTGGATTAATTTAAGCCCTGACTAGAGTGAGAAGCATTCCTTAATTGAACATGTTTGCAAATAAATGATAAAGCCCCCTGTTGTACACTTTCTTTTGAAATAAATTCAATGGCTACACGCCCCCCCCTCAATTTTTTTTCTTCTTAAAGGCAAACAGATTTTGATTCTTATGTCCTTGGCTTTATTATTAGACGAATGAAAACACACCAGACATTGATGAGTGCCCAAAATCATCATCATCCAAGTGGAACAGATTCTGTGAGGAAGAACCTGATGAATCCAACATCTCAGAAGAGGATGGATGCCAAGGACTTGCAATTCCATCAGGTTTGTCCATATTTAAGTCAGTGCATGTCCAAGATAAGACAACTTATTTTGTTTAAGACTTAACACATTTAACCCTGTAACCGATCTTCGGATTGTTGGCCGATCAGGTGAAATCGGATAATAATTTGTAATCGGCGTTTTTTTTTTAAGCCAAAATTTTTCAAGTTTTTGGCTATCAAATGCTAAAAAAAGCATGCATAGCTGGGATTATTTTGTCATTAGGAGTTGTTGTAGATCATGTTTGTTGATATTTAGAGCCATTTCATGACTTGAAATTAATCATATTGTCTAAGAGAAGAGGCAAACCATGCGAGCTGCCATCTTGGATTATAATGTTGGCATGCATTTTTTGTCCATTGTCATTAAAATCCAAGATGGCGGCTTGCATGGTTTGCCTCTATTCTTAGACAAGAATTATCAATTTCAAAGTCATGAAAGGCACTAAATATCAACAAACATGGTCTACAACAGCTCTAAATGACAAAATAATCCCAGCTATGCATGTTTTTTTAAGCATTTGATAGCCCCCCCCAAAAATCAATACAGATCAAAGGTGCGAGGGTGTCGCTCCGATCTGCCGATCCGATCAAAGTCCCAACTTACAGGCCTAAATACATTCTCCAGCATGAATTGGAGATAAGAGTACAGTTGGTTCAAGTCATTGATGTAAATCCTTTTTTGAGTGTGTATTTACAGAAGACCTGTAGAGTGATGGGTTGGAATAGACCCCTATCAGAATGTCATTAGTCTGTTTCTATAGAAGCATATTTACAGACAGTGGGTACATGGATGTCTGGAATGTGGGCAATGTTACAGTGTGACTTCAATGTGATTTTGTGGTGCGTGGTGACATAATTGTAGTGACTGTATTACTGGTCTTTGTGAAAAAATTGTCCCAAAAAGGGGGTTTATTGCATGTAAAATTGTAGTTAACCTCTATCATATTTCTTTGTTCTGTGAGCGCACTGTGCAGGTGTCGATGAATCTACAAATTGATTTTCAGTACCTAATGTACCGGTAATTTGAAGTAGTGTTGCCATCTAAATTGGTTTTCCATGTAAGTGTTAAGAAATCAACAGGAAAGTGAATGAGATGCTTGTTTTTGGAAGTAACACCCAAAGTAGATGCATGCATCAAGGACAATGAATTGTATTTTATATGTTCACTCTTCCTTTTGCAGAACTGGTAACTACTGAAAGACCCTCCCAATTCAAGAGGAAGAAGAGTCGAAACAGCTTCAACACGGGTCACTTGAGCAAGCGCATCAGACAGGTAATGAAAGACTTGTTGTGTACTGTGAGTCTAAAAATCTACTGGAAGTGTTCATTCTATTTTCTACTCTGAAGTTGGACAAGCTATGCCATTCTGCACCATATTTGTGGCCTCTGTAAAACTACACATATCATTGTATTGTTTTCAATCTGCCCTCCTAACGAATGTTCTGTAGTGGCACCTGTGACCCTGCCTCAAGGCTCAATTTGATTAAGAATGGCGTAATAATCATAGTGCACTCTGCCAGCCAAAGTGGGGGAAGTTTGATATTAATTTCTTTGCCTAAATGCATATATATATATATACATGTAGGTTGAATCAGGTTTATTCCATAAATTACCTTGTATCATGCCTTGTGATGGTTATGTACGAGGCTGATAACTAATGTTCACTTGTTTGCTGTATGTCAATTACTAAGCGTGGCTTTGCGTGATGGAAGAAGAGAGATCTTCATTTACAAAAAACATTTATTTGTTTGGCCATTGACTAAATGTTTATTGGTAATAATTTTTTATACAAATTTAATGACACTCATTTTGTTGGAAATGGTAAGGAAATTTGTTTCTCTTTCTATTTTCATGATACTGTCATAAATACTACCTCGTTTGTAAACTAACAGGAATTTAATGTCTGCCATTTCATGTGTTGTCTTCCAGGACAGAAATACTGATCGGGAAACACTGCCAGAGGCTAACCACCAGGAGAATGGCCCGTACCCTGGATGCTCTTCTCATGAAACAGTAAAGATGCCCAGCTGGGACAGACACTTCTCTTTGAACAATGTGAGACAAAGGAACCAGGATATCTATCCTCCAAACATCAGACCAACAAACTTGATCAACCCGGAGAGGGACTCTATTACCCAACAGCATGGTGAAACATTTATTCCTGATCAAGTGACCACCAAGTCTAGTGAGACTGCACGTGGACCTCTCTGTATGCAACAAAATGCTGGTGCTAATGTCTCTCTGAACATCAGTAAGAAGGATAACAAGCAGCACTGCGAGGATATGACTATTACATCTGCTTCACATTATGAGTCTGCCAAAGTGAATGAGAAACAAAAAACAAAAAAGTCCTCTGCAGCAAGTGTATCTTCAAACAGCAAGTGGGCTGTGTTTGCAGAACCTGATTCCGATAATGATGATGGAGATGACTTTGGAGAAGAGGCAACACTTGACGTTGACATTTGTTTTGAAAGGAAAAGTTGTGAGGATGTAAATGGTGACGCATTTGAAGAGTTTTCAACCCAAGAGCATGTCAGTGAACCAAATTTGTCGATCAGTAACAGGAGATTGAGTGGTATAGGCACAAACCACTTGGGTGACCTGCATGAAAATCAGCCCCTTGAGAGCAGAAATTTAAGACTGAGTACCATGAATGACAACATTCATAAGTATCCAGATTCTCATCAAAATAAGAAAATGGAGGAAAAAGGTTGGTTCGGTCCTCCTGTTGGTCATCCCATTGCAAGAAGACCTCAGAGTCATATGTTTAACAATATCCAGAATTCAATTAAATCTTCCAGTGAATCCAGAAAACCCCTTGTTCCCCAAGTACGTCAAACCAATACTGATTCCGCGCTTCATCTTTCAGCTAGAGAAGCAGGGATATCCCACAACGTTGACCAGAGGCACATGCTCTCGAGGCAATCTTTTCAATTAGCTGATGAAGATTTAGAAGATCTGCCAGATGACTTTGATGTTTGGTAATGGACAACAGGGCTTTGGTGCTTTCTTCAGCATAATGGACATAACCAAGTGATGCAGTAATTTTGGTACATGCCGTACCAACAATTTCTTGCTTGTGAAGGGAGTCTTTCCTCTAGAGACTAGTTTCATCTCTTCATCCTCACTATATCCTGGCAGCATAGAGCAGATCTATAAGCTCCAGAAAATCTCTGGATTTGACTTTATCAACATCTTCAAATTCTGCTGTAACAAAATGCACATTAATCTGCTAAAATGAATGGACAATTTTGTGTGTAGTTCTTGACGAAGGACTACACTGAGTGTGTGGTAAAGGACAACGGTGCTTCAACATAATGGACACAACCAACTGATCAGTATTTGTGGTATACTGTATAACTCTTGTTTGTGGAAGGCCTCATATACATGTAGTAGAGACTAGTTCATCTTGCAGTTCAGTTCTTGCACATCCAGAAAATATTTGCACTTGACTTGTTCTCAGACTATGACCTCCATCTTCAAATTCTTCTCTAGCAAAATGCACCTTCAACATGTCAAGATGAATGAACACATTTTCTTGTGGTTGATACTTGATAGCAATGAACAGTCATCAGTCGGTGAGCCCTGTGATGCATGATTCATGTCGACCGAATTGGCAGCCCTGAGGAAACCCTGCAGAGCAAGACATAAACATGCACCAGAAGAACTTTCAAGACAAGTACCAGAAGAACTTCCAAGACATTCACCAGAACAAACTTCTAAGAGATGCACCAGAAGAACTTCAAAGACACGCACCAGAAGAACTTCTGAGACATGCACCTGAAGAACTTCCAAGACAAATACCAGAAGAACTTCCAAGACAAGTACCTTGCCAGGTTCATGCAAGTCAAGTGTACAGGGAACAGGTATCTTGTGTGGTTTACTGAGCTTAAAGATATGTGATAATGCTCAAATTCACTAAAGGGGCCCTAGACCCCTTCCCAAATTCCTGAGTTGGTCATGTGTGTGTGGAAACTGAGACATGAACATCATGTTTGTCTGGCTGTGCAATCATTCTTTGATGTTTCATTTGCTACCAGGGCAAGTCCAAAGTATTTGGTCTTGTTGCTTAGTATATTGGAATTTTTAACATAAAAAACATTATTGTTTTTCATATTTCTTCTAATGCCGGTTTTAGTAAGGCTATCAAATTGATACCGTACTTAATAATAAATATTAATATGGATATTTATATAGTGCCGGTATCCACCAGGCTCTGAAGCTCATGGCGCTGTACATATATTACAACCACAAACATATCAGATAATTTTTTCTATCAGGTAAATTTATGATAGAGTACTTAGGACTTGCCCGCCATTGACAACTGTTAAAGGCAAATTACTATTTTTTGCCTACAGTAGTAGCACAAGTGTGAAATGATGATTTTGTGGTGTTCTGTGATTCTTTGTTTTTTGCTATGTAAGTGTATGAGCTGCATACGAAATGTCTTTTTATGAGAAAAATGTGACAGTGTGTTATGTGTGTAAAACTGCAGTCTAATCCCTGCAATATTTATAAGTAATCAGGAGTATATGTGACCTTAGAACCTGTGGGCACGTAATATCGTGGAAAATCAAATTTTGATCTTGGAATGGAATGGAATGTGACCAATTAGAATGGAAAAATACTTTTCAATGTTGAAGTTGTTAAAATCTGTAACTCTTTGATAGATGTTATATTGGAAACTTGAAGATACATACAGGTTTTGTACAGTACCTGCATGTCTGGTGCCACTGCCATCAGGAATATGATGCAAACTTGCAATCGCGTACAACGTGCAAAGTCCGTTGAAGAAATGATCCGTTCACTTTAGATCACCGCTGGCATGTGTCAGAGAATTACGGATTATTCCTTGAACACTTAGTTTTTTATAATGATGAGTAGAGATTTAAAGCCTAACACAATACAACTAACACAGGCTGTGGTTAATTAGCCCAACTATCTTGGTTGATGATTTGTTTTGAAATGGTGAAATAAGAGATGTAGGTCATATCAGTTACAATGCGCAGCAACTGCATTTGCCAAATACTGAAAATATAGTTCTTACATTATCCTCAAATAGAATATTATGTTCTTAAATATTCATCAATAATCATTCCTCTTGCGGGCAGGAGAATGTACACTATGTACATGAAGGTGAAAACCTTCCCTCACTATTAACATGTGGTACTCCACAAGAAGGACCATTCAATCAAAAGGAATATCTTAACCCCTGAAAATTCTTTCTGAAAATGTAAAGAGTCTGAACAGATCATGTTAAAATAGTTAGCCCACAGCTAACTTATTTTCTTTAACATATATGCAATGTGATAGTAGGTTTCCTCTTAACTGGTTAGTTCCAGTATTAAGCCTAGGGAATGAGTGAATGTGAAAGTTATAAATTTGTCAATACCTACTGTAGAGCACAGCATAGAACTATGGTCTTATCTGTAGTAGATATCCTTCTAATTATGGCTAGAGAAACTGCTCAGGTCCAGGCTTCTTTTCTTGACATCCAGTTGCTGATATATAACTAAAATTTTGATTAAAAATCTTTTGTAAATCTTACTCTCATCGGCCATCTTCTTGAAAGCTACCATTTAACTTTGACCGTACCAAACATAACACAGAACATTAGGATCAGATACATGAAGCTGTCTCTTTTAAAGGTTTGCTTTGATGCTTATATATTTTGTCTTCATCTGTCGACTTCTATTTTTTATGCCTCCTCCCACTCATTATATCCGCGATATCTCAAGAACCACTAGAGATATGAGGTTCAAACCTTGATGGTAGTACATGTATGTATCATGAAACTACAAGGGAGTAGAGATATTGGCCTGCTGTGCCACCAGAGACCCATGGATCCATCGACTCCTGGGATGGATTCTTGAAAGCCTTGTTGGACCTTTCCAGGACTACGATCTGTCATGGATTTTTTTAATTTTTGATTTTTTTTTTTAAAGGTCATGCCATGTAGCTTTTCAAAGCTCTTTGGAGCTTACAAGAGCTACTGTATGTTTGTTAGCATTTCCTTGAGTTTTCTTTTTTTGTTATCTCTCAATTCATTGAAGGGAATATTAATTTCATAAATCATGTTAACATCTTTTAAGAATGTTCACTTCTGCCACCAAAATGCATACCTCTCACCATGAAACATGTTCATCATAGCCAGAGGAAATGCATATCTGCAGACAGCCCAAAAGACACCTTAGCTTGGATATCAGGAGCTTCTTTTCTCTTGTCATTCAGAACAAAACTACCTTCTAGCATTTCGCTATTAAGGTTGTATTTACTTTTTATGAAACAGAGATGTGTCTTGCAATAACTTGTGAATTTGTGAACTTGATGTGGGCCATATGATTCAGTATTCTCTTGAGATCGTTCTTCCCATTGACTCCAGGTTTTTTTAAAGGGACACCTGGAGGCATTCCAGCCACTCTATAGCTTGATGGGTGATAATAAGGTACAGTAGCTCTTGCTGACCGAGCAAAGGCTTATACATCTGAGGGCGCGTTCATGCTTGATTTTGACGGCCAGAATCAGGCATCTGTTACGCGTTTAGTTTAAAACACGGTTGCGTCTTAGCTCACTTTTGTAGAATCACCGAAAAACGGCGATCACGATCGCCGATCGTAAACTCACAAAAAGATGCGTTTACAATTTGTAAACGCGTTTAAATGGGGTCAACGCACTGACCTCTAGTGGGTCTACGTAGCATGCACAGTGAAGGTTTGCGAATCCAGCTGGAAGACCAATTAAGGCCACACACTGAGAATTGCCTGGGAGAGCCAGAGAAGTAAGCATGAACACTACATCGTGGAACTGCAATCACGATGAGCGTTTACGATGAGCGTTTCAGATCGCTCATTCTGCCTTCAAAATTTAAGCATGAACGCAGCCTGAGTTTGTGAAAGATAAATTTAAGGATGGAAAACCTAAAGCTGGTTGAGAACTAACTCCAGGGAGCTCCGCCGCACATAACTAAACTGTTTGCTTCAGAATTCTTTCAAATATCTTCAGCATGTAGAAGCTCAGTCAAACACATATAGCACAGCCATGTTGAAGTTATTGTACATTTTTTGTTGATGGCTTATTTCTTTTTCTTTTTCTGCATTATCGAGCAAGATTTTAGGGAATCTTTACTCATTCCTGGCACAAAGAGGTTTTCAAGCGCACCTCTTCTTAGGCAAAGCTGCCCTGATTCCACAGCTTTGATTAACTTCACAAACTTCTCATCCCCCTCTGGATATAAATAGAGAGGATGGAGCTACAAATACTTATTTATGTTCGTTTTGTTGAAATATACTACTATGACGGAGTACCAGTTAAGAATTAAGACAAGTGTTTAAAGACTCATAATTTTAGTTTCAAGACAAAAAGAAAAATTGTCAATTTTTATTAATACATGTACTTCAAATATTTACAACATCTTTATCTAACCACTGTCACAATGCCTTGTGCTCATAGTTATATTTAAGTAATTTATATATTTGTCGTTCTTATATTTTAATACATGTAATAAACTGAAGGGCAATGATTCATTAGGACTAGGGAACTTGGAAGTTTCCCATCTTAGTTAAATTCCATTTCTATAGCATCATAGTGGGAGAGGTGGACTTAAAAATCTTCCTGCGTCTTAATAGTGGTTCAACTTTGTTCCGTATACTATTCCAGTTCCAATTAACGTCTAGTTCCTTACATGGTTATGGGGGGAATTTCCAGGAGAGCTTAATTAATCTCTTACCCGCTGCCTCTGCACTACCAACTTCCTTGAGGCTGCAAGTGTTGCTCTCACCTCCTCGGCACCACTGTTTGGTTGTTTTTTGTAGATCTCTTCCACTGTTTCCTTGAGTCTATCATTCGAGATGTCACTGTATTGCTGTCTCGGAAGCTGAACTTGCTGCCTTAATTTCTACAATGAATATAAATAGTGCTTCTACAAGTGGTTCCTAGAAAGCCAATCCTCGCTACACCCAAACAAATATACAAAAAAAATCATTAAAATCTACAAGAGCACAATTGGAAAGACAACTACTCAAAA